CCCCAAAACCCCAAAACCCCAAAACCCCAAAACCCCGAAAATAAAATACTAGAAAAAAGCAATACTATGAAAAACATATTAAAATTTGATAATTTAAAATATATAGTTATCTTTCTCAATGAATATCTTAGGATTCGGGTTATTTGTTCAATTATATCACAAGATGTTCCTTACTTTCTCTGACAAGGCTACTTTTGAAAGATGGCCCATTGACTCTCTTTCTATTTCTACTATTTTTCTTGTTTTCAACAAATTTACTAGTCTATAAGCTAGAGCTCTAAATTGATTAATCTATTATACTTGGCTCCATAAATCTATCTTTTTTGTTAAGAGTCGTAAATATTTTTCTGGTTACTGAGCTTTCAAAATTGAACTTCTAATTCACCTAGTAATCATCCATGCTTACTCTAGACTCAATGCTTTGGTCTTATCGAGTATGTCTGCTTGCATAAATTTGACTAGCATCTCCCATCAATATATCATCAATTGTTTCCTTTCTTTTTCTCATTTCGATTGATGATTAAGATTCATGAACTTAATCGTTATCATTAGAAAATATTTTTTTCTTTCTAAAGCTAGAATTGTTAAGACTGTCTAAAGATTATTTAAGGTTCTTTTAGAAATCCTAGTGTTTAGTTTTCATTTTCTTATGAATCTTTTTATTTGAGGTTTAGCTATACTCTTTGTAATTATCTTTTATATCATCTAGATTAGAATCAGTAATATTCAAGGTAAGCTTATTCTTTTAAATACTATAGCTGGACTACTCTCTGAGCTCAATACTGTGATTGATCAGCATATTTTAAGAATTGTTTTCAGTTAATTTAAGAAGCTCAATGTCACTGTTTCTACCTTCATTTAGGTTATTGTTGTTGGTATAAATATTATTAATATTTTCAATGCTTTAATGATCCACGAGAGTAAATACATCAACTATTTAATTTTTCTAAATAGAATCTCCTTCTAGATAGTGATCATTTTCCTCTAGTGAATCTATTGATTGCAGATGCTTCTTTGATTTTTTCTATTTTAGTCTTGATTGGGTATTTTAAACTTTTTTGTAATCTATCTAACTTTCCTCTGAAAACTAGACCATATTATTAGTATTGGACAAATTAGACTGTGAAAATTCTCTTTGCAAAAGCAAGGCTAGATTTTAAGTCTTATGATTTTAGTTATTTGATGTCCTAGGGTTTATCTCAAAGTCTATGATTTTTTACTCTTTAAGTTGGAACTAGCTTTATGGTATGAAGTTCTTTAGATTTACTCTTCTGACTGCATTTTTATCTTTATTTTAGATCATATTAGCACCACTTGCTACAGTAAATGCATTCGAACTTAGAGTTTTTTAGTTATTTACACTAATGTTTCCTGCAGTTGTAGCAGTTTTGTCATTTTTTGCAAATTTTTAGGAGTATTGATTATTTGGTGTGTTTACATTAACATTGGTAGTTAAATCTTAACTTGCGCTAGTTTTATTATCAATTTACAACACTAATTCTGCTTCTTTTAAATCTGGTTTTAACCAAAATGGAGACTGCTCTTTAGTATCATCGTCAATTTGAAATATTTAATTTGCCTGGATGAAACTACTGCCAGGTAAATTACTTTAATAGTCTCTGTTAGAGTTTATCCCTGCTCTTCCCGAATTAATGTTGAGATTGTATATTACACTTTATCCATAAGGATTGCTATTCATTCTTGTATGATTGCCAACAAGTCCATTTAGAGATGGAGGATAATTCATTGTAATGATTGATTGATTTTTGGAAGAATCTGCAGCTTGAAATTATGAAAGTTTTCTTCTGTTTTTCTCTTGAGCAGCGAGTATATCATAGTTGCATATTTCTTCATTGTCAAATACTCTACTTTCCTCAATAACTAGATTCTTGCGACTAATCACATTTTTCTTTTATACTGACTAAGTCTATGTATAAGTTTACGACTAATCGACCTTTTAATTTTAAGCTACTGTACTTGTAACTGATTTAACACCTATATCAGTTCCTTCAAAAAATGGATTTGAAGAAATAAATTTGTGATGCTTCATATTTCTACTCTTAAAGGTTTAAGTGGACTCCTATCTCAAAATTTTAAGGCCATCGTTATTTGTTGATTATTCTAGATTAATTATTTGATTTTTTTAAGGATTCCTTATGAACTCTAAAATTTTTGATTTTGTGTTTTAATACTTAAATACTCTTGCTTTTATATTTTCCCAAATATTTCTTTTTTCATATGGATTTATAAAATCTTTGTAATAGCCTAGTAAGCTTTCATGAGTAGTCTGATTAATAATCAAAAGTCTTATATGGTATCCAAATAATACCATTACAAGACACATTGACTAAAGAAATAAATAAATTAGAATCTTACAATAAAACAAAGGAGTATAATTACTAAGCAATATGCTTTATCTCCAACTACTTATTCCTTGACTTTATTAGAATCATTGATGCTTGTTGTTAAATCTTAAATACTTATAGCTATCATAAATATTTCGTAGAAAACAAGCCAAAAAAGGAGTTTTACAAAATACCTAAAAGGTGAAATCAATATTAGATTGTTTGATCAATATTTTACGGATAGTTTCTAATTCCAATGCATGTACCAAGCCATTTGCAATGATGATCGAATCCAATTACGCAATTATTGCATTAGAAACAGTGCAGAACTCTAATAGGTTTGTAAAGATTACATACTGGACAATAGCTTAATCTCATTTAAGACAAGTCTTTCGTTATGAAATAAAACACTTTTTAACCATATTATGAAAAGCTGTTCATTTTCATTGGGCCCTTAACTTGAATCGGATTTTTCAAAAAACTCTCTTTATCTTTCTATATTAAAAGGATCAGTTAAATTCTTTTAATTTTAAGTCTGTACATATTTTGGAAGTATCCCTGGATCACTCATTGTTACTCTCAAGAAATTATAATTTACCAAGAGCTGTAATACAAGTGATACTATAAATGGCCATGTGAGAGATTTTTCTAGGTAGAAATACTATAAAAAAATTACATTTAAATTTCAAATTCTAAAGCTTACTCTGTATCCAGTTAAATAAATGAAAGTAATAGAAATTGCATTCATGAATGCGAAAGTCAAAGTTGCATATGCGACCTAAGATCTATATGAGTCTCTAGAAAAAGTGATTACCCAATAAAGCATAGTCCATTAAACAGTGCTTTGTTATTGCCTTTCCACATATTATAATTTACTTTTATATTTCTATCATTCATTTTTCATTTTATTGTCGAATTTGCAATATGTGGGGTTTTGGGGTTTTGGGGAGATCGGAAGAGCACAC